TAACATGGGTGACCTTGGGTCAGTCACAAGTTCTCTCGGAGCAGTCCTCCAAAGAGCTCTCTCAGCCCCCACCTACCTCGCAGTGTGTCTGTTGTAGGGAGGGGAAGGGAAAGGAGATTGTAAGCTGCTCTGAGACTCCCTTCGGGTAGTGAATGAAGGGCAAGGTATAAATCCAATCTCTTCTTCTTCTTCACCATAGTCGGGGACCCCTGAACTAGACTGTTAACTAACAGTTGTTACATTCCCCCCTCCCCCAAGATTCCAGAAGTCACAAGCAGTGTTCCCTCTAAGCTGAGTGAGTGTGAGCTAGCTCACAGTTTTTTAGCCTCCAGCTCACACATTTTTGTCTTCGCACAGGAAGGGATGGCTCCAGAGCAAACTAATGCACGCAGTAGCCAAATTGCTCGCTCACAACTTTAATGCCAGTAGCTCACAAAGTAGAATTTTTGCTCACAGGACTCCACAGCTTAGAGGGAGCATTGGTCAGAAGAGAACTGATTCTGGAATTTCATACTGTTCAGGAAAATAAGGGGCACGAAACATTATGGAGAATTTGTTTTCTTAGACACGGTAAGCTTCATTTGTATACCTGAACCCTTCCGTCGACTGTAACGTCTAGGTTTTGTGGCATAACAAGTCTGCCATCTAAAGCTCTTGTTGCAGAGTCACATTGTCTGTGCACCCCAAACAGATGCGCGCAAGTCTACAGATGAGAAGAGGCAGAGAACTGCAGCCTAGAAGAGTCGCGTCTGAGGAGTCAATCCGCTCAGGCTGTTTGTTCTGCGAAAGTCGGCCACGGCTCAGATCAAAGGACGGCAGCCAGTTTTTGCCACACAAAGGCTACAAAGACACCCAGGAAGGAGTTATATTAATCCTCCTTGGAAGTGACGAACGTATTACATGGATTAGCATTTCAGCTGTGCCTCCAGACAACATTATCCTTGACCTGCAGGCTCTCGTGAAAGACGCACACGTCCCCAAGTAGCGAGATGAGCATGCCATTGGCAGTGGTTCACGAGCTAACTCCAAGACGATGGCCTCGATTCCCAAACCACCGGGAGCAAGGGGCCACAGAGTGGAAGCCACCACGATGGAGGGCATTCATTTAGGGGTGCCAGCCTCCAGGTTGGACCTGGGGATCCCGCAGAATTACAGCTCATTTCCAGACGACAGAGAAGAAGAAGAGGAGGAGGAGGAGGAGATTGGATTTATACCCCACCCTTCACTCGGAGTCATCGGAAGTGACGTAATCGTGTTGGGCACGTTGGGGGCAGCGCCACAATCATCCGAGGGAAAACCACTCTTTTGTTAAAAAGAGGCCCCCCCCCCCCCGTGCAACGTGCCTGACGCGATTACGTTATCTCTGGGTGACGTGTTCACACTGGGTACATCACGCGCTTTGGGGGTGGACTCCCCCGGTGGCCCAATCCCCGTTGGCAGGGAATGGGCCTCTCGGGCGGGGGTTTCCCTGCCCCCCCAGGGGCACTTGGCAACCCTAACCCAGAGCCTTGTGTACTCAGGGATTGGGCAATCCAAAAACCACCACCACCACCACCATGATGATGTTGATGAGCTGCTGGGATTCCCTGAGGTAGCCCAAGTGGCACTGGACAGGTAGCCAGGAACCCCAGGTCTGTCCAGGAAGCACGGCCTGGCCTTAAGTCCCCAATTCCTGAAGAAAGAGGAGGCGTCTTAATTGGGCTTTACAACAGTCCCAGGAAGGACATCTCTTGGTTCTGGGTGCCCTCAAGTCAGCCAGTCAGTCTTTTTATCTATTTACCTTCTGTCTCTCTCTCTCTCTATATATATATATATACACATATATACAGGGCTTTTTTGCAGAAAAAGCCCAGCAGGAACTCATTAGCATACTAGGCCACACCCCCTGACTGCACAGCTCATTAGCATATTAGGCCGCACCCCCATGTTACCAGAAGTGTGGTCATCCAGCCACACCCACCTTTTGCTTCTTATTCTGTTTACCTTGTTTGTTGTCAAAACCCAGGGCAGGAACTCCTTTGCATGTTAGGCCACACACCCCTACTGTAGCCTATCCTAATGAGTTTCTGCTGTTGGGTGTGGCCTATTATGCTAATGAGTTCCTGCTGGGTGTGGCCAACTTGGGAGCCAGCCGGAACTCCGTTCCTGTGCGTTCCTGCCCAAAAATAGCCCTGTTACATATCCCATCTTTCTCTGACATGGGGACCTAAAGCAACTTACATTATTCTCCTCCGCTCCATTTTATCCTCACAACAACCCGGTGAGGTAGGTCAGGCTAAGAGCGTGTGACTGGCCCAAGGTCACCCAGCGAGCTTCCGTGACAGGAGTGGGGGATTCGGACACAAGCCTCCCAGGTCTTAGCCTGACACGATGCCGCGCTGGCTCTTTCTGTCTCCATTATTGAGTGAAAAAGTGAAGCACGCATCCAATTGTAGGGCTCCCAGCTCTGGCTTAGGGAATTCTGGGCAACCTGGGGGTGGCTAGCTACTGGGGAGGCTGGAGTGTCGGGAAGGGAGGAAATTCAGTGGGGATGCGATGCCACAGAGTCCACCCTCCGGAGCTGCATTTCCTCCAGGGGAACTGATTTGCGCATGTGATATAGGAGGGTCAAGCTAACAAAACAAGTTATTATAAAAATACAAATATTTATTATGGTGTACACATCGGTCAAAGATTGAAGTAGATTAAAAGAAATGATCCAGATATCAGACTCTTAAAACGTTTTACACAAAGAGCTGAAAGTTTCACATATACAACTGATGGGTGTATCCTATGGCCGGTAGACCATACGTGTTTCGGCCCCGTAGGGCCTTCCTCTGTGGTCAATATGACTATCGTAAAACGACACACATCCAGACATAAATATATGAACAGAGATTTTCTTTAGAGCCAGGTGTTGCTTTCTCATGTGACGTGCGATTGCTAAAAGTTTACACAGTAGGCCACGGATAATATCTCATGGTAACTGCACATGCTCTCCAAATTGTTCTGGTAACAAATATCCAATGTGTCTGGATGTGTGTCTCTTCCATCAAAGGTAGTAATTACGACCTTTGATGGAAGAGACACACATCCAGACACATTGAGGAAGGCCCTGAGCAGTGTTCCCTCTAAGCTGAATTGGTGTGAGCTAGCTCACAGGTTTTTAGCCTCTGGCTCACACATTTCTGTCTTAACTCAGGAAGGATGGCTCCAGAGCAGCCAAATTTATGGAGCAGCCCAATCGCTCGCTCACAGCTTTAATGACAGTAGCTCACAAAGTAGGATTTTTGCTCACAAGGCTCCACAGCTTAGAGGGAACATTGGCCCTGAGGTTAAAAAGTTTTAAGAGTCTGGATCGTTCCTTTTAACCTATCTTATCTTTTATTAATGTGTACACCATAATAAATATTTGTATTTTTATTTTGTTGGCTTTACCCTCATATATCACAGCCGTATCTTGGGTTGGGTCCCCCCCCCCTTCCCCCACCCCCCTCAGTTTTTTGTCAAAACTGATTTACGTAGTCTGGAGATCAGTTGCGATTCCGGGAGACATTCAGGTCCCTATCCCATTTTAATCAAAGGAATGTACCCCAGTATCAAGTTGCGATTCCAGGAGAAATCCAGGTTCCTATCCCATTTTAATCAAAGAGGGAGGGATGTACCCCAGTATCAAACATTTGTTGCTACGCTAGACCAGTGGGGGGGGGGGGGTGGGGGGGGGGAGAAGAAGGGGGCTAGAATTCATACATCAGGTTGCACTGCTTAACCACCAGTTCCCTCCCTCCACCTGCAGATCCCCACTCGGGGGTTCCTAAGGGTCCTCTCTTTTTTCCCTCTGCCTGAGTTGGACAGGCCAGCGCACGGTGATCCGGATGCAGGAGAGCCCCCCAAAGGTGCCAGTACTTAGTACCAGGGAGAAAGGTCACAAAAGGTGATGGCCGAATATTCATCCTGTTGTTTTTTGTTCGTTTTGCTGTTTCAGAACTCGTTTTGAGAATAACCTGCCTGGTTATTAATGCTTGACTGCCATCTAGTGGAGCGATGCCATCATTAACACTTCCCTCTTTACTGGTCCTTTCTGTTCTTTACTGCAATTCAATAATTGACTGTCCAATTATGCTCTTGGCATTTGTGTATTTTTAGAGGTGCCATCATTTCACCTGCCTCCCTTGCTTTCCTTTATTTCACCTCTCCGAGCACACAGGACCTGGGGATTGTGAACACGACACTTTTCCAGAGCCTCTCATTGCCTCTTCAGCCCTTACCTACGGTCATGTTTTTACAGGTATGGGGCGATTCATACATTGAATAGATAATAATCTGTAATTTTTGCACTGCTAAATGGGCCATGTTAATATTTATGTTACACTTCAACTCTTTCTGGTTGGTTCCAGACTTCTAAAATCCTAATGCATTGGTTATTGAATGCTGCACATTGTTGGACTGTACTGACTCACTGTACTGGACTGGACTGACTTCAAGAAGGTTAGTCGTTCAGCAGTTCAAGACCCAAGTTGCCGCATGACGGAGTGAGCTCCCATCTCTAGTTCCAGCTCCTGCCAACCTAGCAGTTCGAAAGCAAGAAATTGCAAGTAGATAAATAGGTACCACTTCGGTGGGAAGGTAACAGCGTTCCGTGCGCCTTGGTGGTTAGTCATGCCGGCCACATGACCATGGAAACGTCTTCGGACAGCGCTGGCTCTTCGGCTTTGAAACGGAGATTAGCACCGCAACCCTAGAGTCGGACTCCACTGGCTTTTGAGCAAGGGAACCTTTACCTTTTACTGACTCACTATGTGTAATGCACTTGGAGTTCCTGTAAGAAAGGTGGACTATAGATAACGTAGATAAACATTTCTTATAAAGCGATACACTAAGAAGAGACCTGAAGACAATGAATTAGGGTACTAATAATCGTTCCCAAGATCTACACTGTGACAATCCTATGCTAGGAAACACAAGGATGTCTTCCCTCTTGCCTTTCCACATCCCAAAGTTAAAATGCAAGGAAACGGTTCTGCTCTTTATTCATTGCATAAATATAAATATCAAGAACCAGAATGGTGAGGAGCCAATACACGAGCAACAAGGACGGAAAAAAAACACAAGGGGCACAACCGATGCTTAAAGGAAGCATATTTTTTAACCACTAAAACATATAAAAGCCTGTTCTTTGGGTGACCACAACTAGACCATCTCACACATTTTCTGCCACTGATTTATGTGCAATATTTCACACTGTCGCTAAATGAACATTCCACAACGATACCGCAGGATCACAGCCTCTCCCCATGAATCAAAAACATAATTTCCTCATCCCCAACTAAGCCAGATAACCTTTTCAAGGGACTATCATGTTCTATTATCGTTCGTATAGTGTGAAACGACAAAACAGAGAGAGGGTGCCGAACGTAATACAGGGCGCAAACTAGTCGATCCCTCACTGGTTTCGGCAGAACCAAATGAAGCATCTAACTCCCCACCCCACCCCCAAAATGAATGGCAGCCAAACTGCATTTTAGCTGAGTACCTCATACAGCAGAAAGCAACATTAGAGCAAAAAACATTATATCCAATATATCGTGCATGAACAGTGAAGATTGTACTTTTCTAAACTTCTCCGAAATAACAGCTCTTTCGTGCTATGACCAGTTGCTTCATAAACCGAGAGCTCGTCTGTAGTTTAAGCATTGATGAGGCAAACACACAAAAAAATTGAAATGCCCCATCTTCCAGCGCAATCCTAAACAGAGTTAAACCCCCCCCCCCCAGTACATTGATGGGTTTAGCAGGGTTGTAACTCTGCTTGGGATGCCCCTGTTGGCCTCCTGATCTAAGATTTATACAGTACAAAGATTTCCATTTCGTGCTAATTTTTCTTTTATTGGGGGGGGGGGGAAGAGTTCATAATAACCTAATCCCTCAACCAAAACACAGCAGGTAAAACCAGGACGTTTTCAAAAAGCAAAACATAATACAAGTTCGTTTCCGTAGATCTGTAAGACCGCTAACAGTACGATGCAGAATACATAAACATAATTAACAGCACTTACAAAACTCTGCATCTAACGTAAAAAAGGAGGCTTGAAGGATTTCCGGTTAATAAGCATTCAGAAATTCCTTGTGTGCCTTCATCCATCTTCTTTAGGGAAGATTTGGAAGGGGGGGAAAGTTTGGAAACCGACACACACAACGTACAAGGGTCCAAATCTGCAACAGACAAATCTTCCAATCAAGCGTTGGCCTTCGGTTTTGAATGTGTTCTGTGTCCAAAGTTCTTCTGCGGCCGAATCAGCTTCCCATGTTTTCGGTTGCCTGGGAAGAAGGACTTGGTTATAGCGGAAGCACCCAAATCGAACGTGCAAAATGAACATTATGGACTTCGGGGTTGGATCTTTGCCAGCTTTCCCACTGGTGAACAAGGGATGAGAGATTCCTTCTGGCCACCTGAAAGGCCACGTTGGGGATCAGGGGGTCCATGTGGGCCAAAGCTGTGTGGAACGGGGGCGGGGGGGGAGCCCTACAGTAAAGAGAACTGGGCAAGATTTAGTGGGGGTGGGAGGAAGCTGGCTGGATCCAACCCATTTGTTGCCACCGGTTTTAGCAGTGTAAAATGACTGGGGCGGGTGGTGGTCTTAGAAGCAGAAGAGATCAGGGAAGAGGCTGTGGCTCAGTGGCAGAGCTTCTGCTTGGCATGCAGACACTCCCAGGTTCAATCCCCAGCATCTCCAGTTAAAAGAGTAGGTGATGCCTGAGACCCTGGAGAGCTGCTGCCAGTCTGAGTAGACAATACTGACCTGGATGGACCAAAGATTTGATTCAGTATAAGGCAGCTTCATATGTATTGACTGTGAGCTGAGATGAGCAGATAACTATCTTATTTAGAAGAGGAGGAGAATAAGAGATTGGATTTATACCCCGCCCTTCACTACCCCAAAGGAGTCTCAGAGCGGCTTACAAACTTCTTTTCCCTTCCCCTCCCCACAACAGACGCCCTGTGAGGTAGGTGGGGCTGAGAGAGCTCTGACAGAACTATGGCTTGCCCAAGGTCATCCAGCCAGGTGCAAGTGGAGGAGTGGGGAATCAAACCCGGTTCTCCCAGATCAGAGTCCACATACTTGACCGCTACACCAAACTGGCTCTCACACCAAACTGGGCAGGAACACAGAACTCCTCCCTATCCTTTGCAAGTGCTCAGTACAGGGCAGGAACAGTACGCAGAATCCAGCCCACTCCTTCCCGCCCGCCCCCCGATCTAATGGTCAGTGTACGGCATCCCCACAGAATTACCATGATGCTGATGTTGAACATGGGGGGAGAAGGGCAGAAGGAAACCCAGGCTGAAGATGAGCCCCATTTTCCCTGTCTACCGATGGTGATAAACCGTTTATCATCACTGTGCAGGTCTTTTTGTCTGCAAATGCCTTTTGTCCATTGGTGGCTGCTGAGGCATCTAGATTTCTGGTTTGAAGGTCAGGGAGTTGTTTGTGGGAAATGGTAAAGATTAAGAGGGAAGCGCAGCTTTAAAATTGGGGCAGGGTTTTGGGGTTGGGTTTTTTTGGCAGAATTACAACATGAGCTATTCTGCAAACTTACGCTGACTTGTTTGTAAGCCGAGACTAAAGAAAATATTAACATCCCCACCAGGGGGGGGGGGGGGGATGTGTGGGGGACATTTAGAACGTAGTAGTTATCGTAGTAGTTATGAGAACATAAGAGAAGCCATGTTGGATCAGGCCAATGGCCCATCCGGTTCAATACTCTGTGTCACAAAGTGCCCAAAATACAATACAAAAACCCGTGGGCACTCAAAGAAATTGCTGAGCAGTCGGGTTAGAACAGATAAAAGGAAGTACTTCTTCACCCAAAGAGTGATTCACACATGGAATTCACTGCCACAGGAGGTGGTGGTGGCTACAAGCATGGACAGCTTCAAGAGGGAATTAGATAAGCATACGGAGCAGAGGTCCATCAGTCGCTATTAGCCACGAGGTATAGATACTTTGGCCACCAAATGAGAAGGGAGCACTCCCTGGAGAAGACCCTGATGCTGGGAAAGATTGAAGGTCAAAGAAGACGGGGCCGGCAAAGGATGAGATGGTTGGACAGTGTCATCGATGCAACGAACATGAAATTGAGCCAACTTCAGAGGACGGCGGAAGACAGGAGGGCCTGGCGGGAGATGATCCATGGGGTTGCGAAGAGTCGGACTCGACTGTGCGACTGAACAACAAGAAATAGATAGGAACTCTCTGTCTGGGGTCGGGTTAGAACGGATAAAAGGAAGTACTTCTTCACCCAAAGAGTGATTAACACTTGGAATTCACTGCCACAGAAAGTGGTGGCGGCTACAAGCATGGGCGGCTTCAAAAGGGAATTAGATAAGCATACGGAACAGGGGCCCATCAGTCGCTATTAGCCACAAGGTATAGATAGGGGCTCTGGGGCAAGTGATGCTCTGTATTCTTGGTGCTTGGGGGGGGCAACAGTGGGAGGGCTTCTAGTGTCCTGGCCCCACTGGTGGACCTCCTGATGGCACCTGGTATTTTTGGCCACTGTGTGACAGAGTGTTGGACTGGATGGGCCATTGGCCTGATCCAACATTGGCTTCTCTCATGTTATGTTCAAAAACCAGGTGCCATCAGAGGTTCCACCCTCCCACTGTGGCCCCCCAAGCACCAAGAATACAGAGCATCACCTTCCCCCAGCAGTTTAATTTCTCTGCTCACAGTGTTTCTAAACTCTGTCTTTCTGATTTATAAAATGCTGCTTGCTTATACAGTCCCTCTGTCACTAGATCCAGGTTGGTAGCCGTGTTGGTCTGAAGAAACAAAGTTTGAGTCCAGTGGCACCTTTAAGACCAACAAAGTTTAATCCAAAGTGTGCAGGCACATGAAAGCTTATACCCAGAATTAAACTTTGTTGGTCTTTAAGGTGCCACCGGACTCAGACTTCCCCCTGGTCCCTGTTTTTCCTGACAATCTTGTATCAGGTCTGATGAACTGCCTGAAGCCGTCCACTGAATCAACTACAACGCTATCATGTGGTAGGTGGGGCATACATCTGCCTTCCTGTCCGTGGGCCAACAGAGCAACAGAGAGTGCTTAAGCATAACTTGTGTCAGCATCAGCAACTCACTTTAGCAAGCAAACAAGAATGATATGGAACTTAGAGTGAGGGGCTTTTCTTTTTTTTAAGTTATGGTTCAATAGACCTTCAGGTGGGTGGTCTGAGGCAGCAGAACCAAGTTTGAGTCCAGTGGCACCAACAAAATTAAATTCAGGGTGTAAGCTTTCGTGTGCACATGGAACCTTATACCCAGAATAAAACTTTGTTGGTCTTAGAGGTGCCACTGGACTCAGACTTAGTTCTATATACCGTTAAGAAGAGGAGGAGACTGGATTTAAACCCCGCCCTTCACTCAGAGCGACTTACAATCTCCTTTCCCTTCCCCTCCCCACAACAGACACCCTGTGAGGTAGGGGGGACTGAGAGAGCTCTTTCAAGAACAGCTCTGAAAGAACTATGGCTTGCCCAAGGTCATCCAGCCAGGTGCAAGTGGAGGAGTGGGGAATCAAACCCGGTTCTTCCAAATTAACTGCTCTACCAACTTCTAGAGAGAGAGAAAAACGTTAGGAACCTTTATTCTTGTAACAGGATGATTTATTTTGAATTTGGAATAGAAGGATTATGCATAAGGTATGCAACTATCGGGACTGCGGTGGCTCAAGTGGTTAAGACGCTGATCTGCAGACTGGAAGGTCGGAAGTTCGGCAGTTCGAGACCCGAGTGCTGCAAGACGGAGTGAGCTCCCGTCTCTGGTCCCAGCTCCTGCCAACCTAGCAGTTCAAAAGCAAGAAATTGCAAGAAGATAAATAGGTACCTCTTCGGTGGGAAGGTAACAGCATTCCGTGCACCTCGGCGTCTAGTCATGCCGGCCACATGACCATGGAGAAGTCTTCGGACAGCGCTGGCTCTTCGGCTTGGAAACAGAGATGAGCACCGCATCCCTAGAGTCGGATTCTACTGACTTCGAGCAAGGGAAACCTTTACCTATGCAACTATCAGAAATAGAATTCATTTTATAGGACACTTTTAGTCCAGCCAAGCTGCTCACAGGCTTATACAATGAACGTTCTATTCATTTCCTGACGCTTTTGTGTAGTACCTCTGTCACTCTTTCCTGATCGTCTTAGAAAAAGGGGTCCCCCAGATCGGACGCCCTCTCCTGTGGCACTCGATCCCTTTGCAGTTGGCACTTCTGCTGCACGAGGGCTCCTCGAAGAAACATTGCTTTGCGCCAGCGGGAGCGCCTGGCAGCAGCGAAAAGCATCTGCAGCAGCCAGAGAGAAGCGGGAAGGGAACGAGGTCACAGGAACGAGGCCTCAGAGCAAGGGCCCCCCACCTTATTGAGCCCATCGGCACTTCAGGAATTCTGACACCGGACAGGGAGGCACAACCACAAAATGGCTGCCGTAGGTAGCCTAGCCAGCCACAAAATGTCAGAGAGGAAGGTTATGCAGGACTTTGGTAGTAACTCTTCAATGTTTCAGGATGCCTTTCTTAAAACGAGCGTCTTCCTTATGAGTAGCATTATTATTGTATGCTGCAAAAGCCGTAGTTGCTATGCAATGGAAGTCTGAACGTACACCACCTATAACTGCATGGCACAACAAACTGTGGCATTGGTATCGAATGGAAAAAATTACATGTTCTATAAAAATTTCATCTTATGGAAAGGAGTAAATTGCTGTTTACAATATGGCCTCCTATTCTTGAATACTTGCAACAAGAAGGAGAGATCCCAGAAGTTATGGCTAGATTTCAATTTGTTTAATGAAACTAGATGTTATTATTCTGTTAAAGATAAATATTGTAACCTACATGTTAATTCTTTGCTTTTTTTATGTCAACGTTCCGGAAAGTTGCATATTGTTATGTTGTTAATGTTTTTATTTTAAAATAATAAACTATATTGAAGGGGGGGGGGGAGAAATGAACGCCTTCCTCAAGAATGCTTCCTCACGCACACACAGCTTGCCTTCAGTCGTGTGGCAAGGATCCCTGCGCCGTGGCGGCAGCTGCTCCCGAAGTGACTTCTTAAACATCTGCACAGCCCCTCAGATCTCCAGTGGCCAATCAGAAGCCCGGATGGTCAAAAGGCCCACCTGCTTTCTCAAGATACGTGGTGGGCACCAAGAAGGCTGGTGCCATTGCGCCCAGGGGCACAGTGTTGGAGAACCCGTCCTCAGAGTCTTGGAAAGTTGTGTGTATTCAGCAAAGAGGAACTGTTGACCCTGCTCATATCATGATGTCCTTGAGTGCACTGAACGACTATGGATGGTTTCCCACAAACCTGTCTTACCTTCAGCGCTTCTGTAGCCTTGCGCAGCTCTTTAATGACCGCCGACAGGGCCTCGGGGTTTATTCCTTGCTCACACAGCCTTACGCAAATGGAGAGCGTCTCCATATCTAGGCCAGTGTTGAGTATTCGGGATATCTCAAACAGAACTGCAAAGAAACATTTTCAAACAAAAGTTAGATGTTCGATCGGGACTACCAGCCATTTATTGTGTGCAATATCTCTTGTTGTTTTTTCCCCAGAGGCACAGAAGTTAGAAGGATGTTTTCACTATTGCCAGCACAGTACCAGCTGTTGTACTATAGAAGAAGAAGAAAAGAAGGAGTAGGAGAAGTTGGTTTTTATACCCCGCTTTTCACTATCCGAAGGAATCTCAGAGTGACTTACAAACTCCATTCCCTTCCCCTCCCCACAACAGACACCCTGTGAGGTAGGTGGGGCTGAGAGAGCTCTGAGCGAACTGCTCTTGAGAACAGCTGAGAGAACGTGTGACTGACCCAAAGTCACACCAGCAGCTGCGTGTGGAGTGGGGAATCAAACCCAGTTCTCCCAGATTAGAGTCTGCGCTCCTAATCACTATTTTATTTATTTATTTATTTATTGGAGTAATTAATCCTGCTTCCATATAACAATACATAGCATAACATATATTACATACTTCAATACAATAAATGCTTCTTTCCCT